GACAATTTCATGATTCGGAAACAAGCAGAGCAAATAGACTTGAAAAACTTTACAGGTTTTTAACTCGTAATATATTACTTTTTACGCCGTTAAAATTATGCCCTATACTCTCGCTCATAAATTAGAGAATTTGGCAACCACAACAGCATAACAAATCATACAGAAGAAACATCCATTATTACTGTTCTCGGTCAAAGACCATACAGGTGATAACTCGAACAAAATTCTTTTACCACTCTAACAACCTGTCGGTTGATTTCTTTTTATATGCCGTTTGTTGTGAGAAGTCATCGCTTTGTTCCGACGACTTAAGGTAACTCACGCTAATCGCTAAATCCTATATCACTGACTCAATTTCAAAAAGCAACTGACCATGTCCAAGGCATGCAACGATTCTCGAGTAGACTGTTCACGAAGAGAACATTCTCCCACCAATGCTTGGGACATTGCACAGCAGGATCGGTGGGTGGCCACATGGGATGGAAATGCTGGATTGAGGCCCGCATGCCAACATCCACCAGTACGTAGATGTAAGCTGGCCATAAACGAATGACACGATGACGATAGTACCGAAGCCAGTATCCATACGATGTCCACGTCGGGGCTGCTTCTGAAATTACATCCATTTTATACTCTTTTGAGTAAATAAACCACAGAAAAATAAAAGTCGATTAGTAGTTGATGGACTGAATAAATGTGTTAAATCGCCTCGTTTTCAAGTTATTTTTAAAAAAAATTTTTTATTTTTCGAGCAGCTTTTATTTGCTTTCTTAGTCGGAAGGATATTATAATGCAGCGTTTGAGAAGGGTAGCAATACTAAATTTACATCAGGCACATCTCGAAGCGGCCGGGGTTTTACAAAGTCTTTTTGTCGGGAAGATGCTGAAATATTAATCCAGGAAAAAAATGCTAAGATGGTCAACAGGCTGGACATTATGTAATGTAAAACTGGGTAAAGTACGGAAAAGCTGAGGGCTGCATAGCTGGAAAACTGATCTGACAGAAATATCGGTTGAAAACTAAACTA